GTAAGCAAAAATATGTAAATTCAGGCCACTGCCAAATGAGAACTCCTTTGGATAGCATTTCTGTATAAATTGGGAAGGAAAATGCTGGTATATTTCTCATAATGCCTCTATATACTGATTTACATGTCTATTCTACTTTTATACTTGCATGTTAAACTACTGTCATTATTAGCAGTGAACAGATATTAATAGTTATTCCTTCCTGCACTGATTGCATCCTGGGTCCTTCTTCTCTATAGAACTGTCAACAGACTCAGCTTTAGCTCCTGCTGTGAGTCAGGCCCTGTACCCTTAGTATGGGCACCATACAGCCACAGGGAAGTTCAGTCTACTCAAGACAATATCCTCCACTCTATTCAGGCACAGAACCATCTGAAGATTCACCATCCTACTACAAAATAGTGGCAGATGAAGAACCTACAATTTACCAGCAGTGTAGTCCACTGAACAAGTACTGATAAAAAACAAATCAGACTCACACTCCACTTCTTGTGACAATTTCACAATCAGGTTAAAAATAATAATAGACATGGATGATAATCTGTGGTTAATCTTGAACACATCCAGAGAGAAAATGAGTCATCTTTCTGGTGAACAGAAGATGACACCAGAAAGTTTACTTTCCCACTAGCCAGAATGCTAGAAGAAAGAGAAAACACAGAAACTTTATTTTAAAACTGCAAGTTACAAAAAGAAATAATGAATAATGACAGAAAAAAAATATTTCAGCAAGTTGTAATATAGTTTGGGGTAAGGGTTAAGGTTAGGCTCAGTGGCTAAGACACTGAGCTTGTTGATCAGAAAGGTCGGCGGTTCAAATACCTAGGGCCGCGTAATGGAGTGAGCTCCCATTACTTGTCCCAACTTCTGCCAACCTAGCAGTTCGAAAGCATGTAAAAATGCAAGTAGAAAAACTAGAAACCACCTTTTGTGGGAAGATAATAGCACTCCGTGCGCCTTTGGCGTTTAGTCATGCTGGCCATGTGATCATGGAGACATTGTTGGACAGCACTGGCTCTTTGGCTTTCAAACAGAGATGAGCACCACCGCCTAGAGTCGGGAACGATTAGCAGATATGTGCGAGAGGAATCTTTACCTTTACCTAATATAGCTTGAGTGCGTATGTGATAATATCCAAACAGTCAGAAGCTTAAGTTAAAGCTGGAGAAAATAGGATCTCATCAAAGCTATATTCCGAATAAGACCCTTTCCCAAAATAAAGTGGGGACAAAGCCAGTGCGCTTTCACCATTAGGCACAAAGGATTTTTTTAAAAAATAGTTGGCAGAAGCTAAAACACAAGGTTTGAAATTTATACTTCCATAGGATAAAATGTAGGGAAACTTACAGGTAGTCCTTGACTTACAACCATGTGTTTAGCAACTGTTCAATTGCAAAAAAAAGTGATATATGGCCAGTACTCACATTTATGATCATCACAGCGTCCCGTCTCATTATCATAATCTGGACACTTGGCAACCAGCATGTACTTATAACAATTGCAGTGTTCTGAGTTCACATGATTATCACTTGCAGCCTTCCCAGGAAGCTTCCCACAAGCAAGTCAATGAGGAAGATTAATTCATTTAATGATTGCAGCGAGGTCATAAAATCGGTGTAGCTCACTTAACCTCATTGCTTAGCAATGGAAGTTCCATTCCCAATTTTGGTCACAAGTCAAGGACTACCCTGAACAAGATACTTTCAAAAAATCTTCCATCTAAAATATCCATACTAGGGCCCAGGCCTCACTGAAGAACCTTCAAGTGCACTGGGCTAAAATTAACCACTGATAATTGGATTGTGGGAATTGCAACCTGACATCTTGAGTGCCAGATTCCACTTTTCCCTGATCTATGTTGTAGGCATTTATCGTGCGCCTCTTAAGATACTAACACAAGTGCCAAATAAAAGAGAGCTGTGACATTAAAAAAAGAGCCTAGAGATACTTTGAGGCCTCATAATGCGGCCAAGTGGTGTTTGGAAAGCATATAATTAACGGATTGGCACATCATACTATCCATGCTTGTTTGCTTTGAAAATGGCCTATCAAATCAGTTAGAAAGAAGCCAATCTCTAAAGGTATAATTATGCCCTTCTCCCTTGATTACCTTGCAGAAGAATTTTGTTTTTGAATGTCCAGCTGCAGCAGTGAAACTGATGGTTCTGGCCTTGAAGTTCAAAATCTGAGGAATTAGCATTTGTTTTTATTTAGGGAATTCTGGGCACCAAGTAGCTTTTTAAAATTCTTTCCAGACATGAACACGGAGATGGAAGCTCAGACCATGTGATCCACAATCGGATTTAACACATGATTTGCGGTTTGCTGTGGTTGAATCCCAGTTTCCAATGTAGCTGTTTTGGAGAAGTTACCTGAAGAATTCTTTCCAGTTTGATGAGAGGGTCTAAAATTACTATCTTTTCCCAGATATAACATTACATTAATCTTAGTGTGTCATGTGTTCTTTGGCTGCTGGATGTGTTTTTAACTAAGAACAATTGCTTTACAATGACAGAGATGGTAGGGAATTCTATGATTCTTTTACTAAATACTACTTACAACAATTAGGAACTTCCACTTAAAGGTCACTTTCTCCAGCCTCTTTCTCAGCGCTATTCAGTTAACATGCCCTTGCTCCATTAGTAAATTACCAGCTTCTTCACCTTTTTTTTCTAGTCAAGGGCTGTCAAACTCGTGGCCCATGGGCCAGATGTGTCACATGCTGGCCACACCCACACCCATCTTAATGAAAGGGGGGGGTCTCAATATGTCACATGATGCTGTGACGCCGGAAGTTTGACACCCCTCTTCTAGTCCATTTTCCAAGCAAGAGATGGAAGGGGAATTGGTTGTATTGCTGTGGAAAGGACTCAGCATGTCTTCTCTGCTTGGATCTTTGGCAGCTGGCCAGACTCTGCATAGACTTTGTGTGGTGCACCTCCCTCTGGGCCTTCCCAGCCTTGCCTGGTCTGAAGTACTTCAAAAACTCCAAGCATCTGTCTGCCACATTGGAGGTAATTTGTCTTCCTATCTGATATTTGCTTCTCTTCTGTCAGGGGAACCTCTCCTTATCATCTTCACCTCCTTCGCCCTCTAGCACCAGGTAACTGCAACCACACAAGACTCTCTTGTATGATTATCATGTTTCTCTCCAAAACTAGCACTCTCTCCAAATAACATGTTCGGCAACACTTGTTAAAATGGGGTTGCCAGATTTCTTTCACAGGCCAGACAGGTAGAATGTCCCCAGCAACTGAAGTGGTGGGTTCCCTCCCACCTCCCACATACAAGGCTTGACTGATAGAAATGCTGTCTACATCCGGACTTCCGGATAGCCAGAGTCCTGGCTATCAGCCAAGTCAGCTTATCAGCCTTCATTGCTGTACTCCAAGGCCCTGTTTGAGCTTGTTCTCCAGTTCTACTTCGGCTGACTCATACCGGCGTCTAAATAAGGCCACTAAAATCCATATGCAACATAATGATACTGAACTTTGAATAAACATGACATTTAAATTGTCTTTTTTTACCACACTGAATATTTGGCTTTGCTTATTGCCCTGATTTTAATAACAGAGATGTTGACATTACATTCACAATGGCACAATTGTAATGTTAGTGAATCACTGGTCAATGATTACTTGAATTCTGCCACTGAATAATTAAAATGAATTCATAAGGTAAATCCTATCCTTCAGTTTCACTAAAACTGCACAACACAAGAAAGCTCTAACTTTGCATGATCTTTAAAATACATATATATTCAAATGGATCTCTACTGTGGAATGTCATCTTAGAATACTATTTTCTAAGATAACGTTGACTTAAAATACCTCACAACTGCAAGAAAAAAAGGTGGTTTAGTTGATTTTCTTTCACCTAACCCTCAAGGAATGAAAATGGTTGCAAGTTTTTAAAAAGGGAGGAAAATGCTGGTGGAGTGCAGAGTGGGAATCATGGATAGATCATTCAATATCTTAAGATCTAGTTGAACGGAGTGACCCTATTAACAACTTGCCTCCAGAAGTTGTAAATGCTCCAACACTAGAAGTTTTTAAGAAGAGATTGGTTAAATATTTGTCTGAAATGGTATAGGGTTTCCTGCCTAAGCAGGGGGTTGGTATAGGTTTCCTACCTAAGCAGGGGGTTGGACCAAGGTTCCTTTGAACTGTTTATCCTATCCTATCCTATTCATAGCATAAACATTACAACAGCTTAGCTGTGAATGCCTGGAGCTGTAGTTCCACCACCAGACTTGAAACAGATAACTTGCAGAATAGTCGCCAGTTGCCTCTTGAAAAAGCACCTTTGGAACAACTTGCAGAGTAAAATATCCTGGTGACTTCATGGAAGCATCAATTTTGTTTTCTTGGCAACAGTTCAGAAGTGGTTTGTCATTGCCTTTTCCTATATTTTTTTCTTTAAAAACTTCCTTGTCTTTAGCCTAAAGGTGTCTCATGACTTCCCACTAAATATTAATCCAGTCTAATACTGTTTACTTTTTCAATATCAGTCAAAGATTGTTAAGTGTTAATGTTCAACTACAGTATGTAATTCTTACAATAGACTGCAACAATACAAAATAAGAGATTCTGAAAATTAATATTATTATTAATTAATAATATTATAGGGTATATTTCCTCACATTGAGACTAGATATGTAACAGAGGAAACTGATGAAAAATGTTGGTTACTAACCTTAGGATAAAAATAAACTGTTGATTATTAAGATGTGCTTTTCTCATTTAACAAGTGAATGCTAAAATTCTGGGATTGTATTACTGTGATACATAAGCCATTCTTCTTGAGTAAAGCTACTACAGCACATTTTAACTTCATCCGACTTCTAAGGATCCCTTTTATTTCTATATGGTATTTGATATACAGAATCCAAATCCCACTTAAATTAAGGATTACAAATTTCCTGTGGAGAATAGAAACGAACTACAATTCTCCAAAAGGATGGACACTAGAAAATACAGAATGTTAACTGTAATTTCTAATCACAGGAAAAAAAATCAGAATTTATTTCTTTTACCATTCCTTTCGTAGTAAACAATAGATTACAAATACTTATTATCTGGGTCTTCTAGCCTTTCATTTATAGTATTTACAGAGATTTATTCAGAAATAAACACAAGTTACTTCAGTTTTACCCATTGGTATACAGTATAGAATTTCAGATATGAAACTGTATTTTCAAAAACATGAGCATTTTTCTTTAACTGGACCAGTGAAATACAGGTTAAAATGTCCTTGTTGATTAAAAAAGACACAATCTCTACTAATTCATAAAGCATTATCTTCTAAAGAAATGAGATTCATCAAGTTCTACTTGGAGATTTAATGAGAATAATATTATAGATGTCATTTTTAATATATTCTTTGGGAATGTATGTTTCATTATGGGAATTTATTCAATACAAAAGTAATATATTGCTTGGATTGTGATGGTTTCTGGTAATTAATATTTGAAATATTTTATGCATTACATTGTAAATTTTAAAAAGCACATTGAATCCAATTTCAATAGTAACCTTTTCTGGAAAGTAAACAAATACATTATTGAAAGACGATTATCTACAATCCATTTCCTGGTCACTGACTTCGGGCTCTAAAGGATACAGTTCATCCAGTGCAAGTTCTGAAAGAGCAAACATAGAACGTATAAGATTTTTTTAAAAAAATACCATATTTATTCAACACTGCTATTATCTACCATATTTTTGGAGTGTAAGACACACCTTTCCCCCCCAAAAAAGAGGGTGAAAATTTGGGTGTGCCTTATACACCGAATGGAGCCCCCCCTCCTTGAGGCCAAAACCATGAGGCATAGAGCAGCAATGGCCTGTGGCAATCCCTGCAACCTGGAACAGCTGATTGGGGGTATTCCGGCAGTCCAATCCACCCACCAATCAGCTGTGCTGAATCAGGCTGCAATAAGTGCTGAAGCTGACCTGGCTGGTCAGGTTTTGCAGCAGCAATCCCATTCAGAAAGCACAGGAACTGATTCAGCAGAATTCAAAATAATAATAATATACATTATCAAAAGCAGGTTTCAAGGTAGCAATAAATACAAGCAAAACACAAGCAGTTTCACTTTCAGTTCTGTACTAGGTCAGGCTCATTCCTGTCTCCTCCTTGCTCACACAGCAAATTTCAGAGTCCAAATAGCCTTCATTGGCTGACTTAGTTGCTATGCATATTCATTGGCTGACCTTGTTACCATGTGTCAGCTGAATACCATGGATGCTGGTAGGCAGAGGCAGAATTTTTTTTCTTATTTTCTTCCCCAAAAACTAAGGTGCATCCTATACTCCGAAAAATACAGTAAATTTAGCAGTATTTTAATAGAGTCAAATTCCCATCCATCATGCAGAGTAATAACTGAAAGATTAGTAAAGCTGAGGTAGGCAACTTGGTGACCTCAAGAAATTGGAATTGCTATCCTCTCCATTCTTTTCAATTAGAATGCAGGTTAGCTTGATGGGGGGAGGGATTCCAGATACCACAGCCAAATTGCTGTGGCCAACTCACTATGGCCAACTTGCCATGGCCAAATTGTTGCAATCAACTCACCACTGTCAACTCGCCATTGGATAAGTTGCCACAGCCAACTTGCCATGGGATAACTCGCTGCAGGCCATTTTTACAATTATATTTAATTATTTAAAATAAATAAAAATTATTTTAATTTTTGCCATTCACATTTCATTCTGTCCCTCGTTTTGCATCCTTTAATAATTCTATTCTACCTTTTCTTTGATATTAGTGTAACAATTGTCCCGGAGCAAGATGTCCTGTGGTGAGATGGCTATGGCAAGTTGGCCTTGGCAAGTTAGCTGTGGTGAGTTGGCTGTGGCAAATTGTCATGGACCTCTTGATGGGAACTGAATAGGCTGCATGTTCCCTCCTGATTATATATATTTGTGAAAACTAATGAACCCCAAAATGTGCATCTTTGCACACTGAAAATACTAGCGTGCCAAAAACACCTTTTATCATTTGTAAGTTTAAGAGACAATTCTGTATTCAATCTGTGACACTTTTATTTACAAAGTGAAGATATGAGAATCATCTCCAAAACCTTCCTAGTTGGCTTAGCCATTATTCAAATGATAGGAAAATGCATAGCTTAGCAGAAGAGCATATTGCTTATAAAAAAGTAGGGTTCAAGTTCAGTCCATAGCAGGCTAAAAACCCCAAGAGACATGCGGTCAGCCTCAAGACAACACTAATTTAGATCAAAAGTGGGCAACATATAGCAATAGCAATAGCAGTAGACTTATATACCGCTTCATAGGCCTTTCAGGCCTCTCTAAGCGGTTTACAGAGAGTCAGCATATTGCCCCCAACAATCTGGGTCCTCATTTTACCCACCTCGGAAGGATGGAAGGCTGAGTCAACCCTGAGCCGGTGAGATTTGAACCGCTGACCTGCTGATCTAGCAGTAGCCTGCAGTGCTGCATTTAACCACTGCGCCACCTTGGCTCTATATGATGAATCAGGGATTGCATTCCACACTTTTGAGGACAGAGGTTTGTAGTGTATGTCAGGAGGATGCATAATGGGTGGATCCAGGAGTTTCCACTCTGGAAATTAATGAATCTGATATATGTAAATAGTGGAACGGGATTTAAAGGTTACATCTATGAAATACACTTTTGCCAATGTAGGCAAGGAAAAATTGCCTAAGGTCAATTTTTGTGTAGGACACAATGTTTTGTGTAGGTACAAAAAGGATTTAAAAGTGTAAGTTTCTTCTCCAAGTCAACAAAAGTGGCTTTCCTAAAACAGAAAAAAATATATGAGTTACTCCCCTCCCAAGTTATAAAATAGCTGGTGTAATATTGGAAAGGAAGATTGGTGGGAAACACAATCTAACTCAAAAACAAGGGTAAATTTTACAACAACAATAATACTGCAGAGACCTGGGGATGAAACTATTCCATTAAAAAGCATTCTAATTCATGAGGATAACTAAAAAAAAAGACCTAGTAATCTTGTTTCCTTTTTTGAAAGACTGAAGTTATGAATATCATCTTATTGTCTGGATCTCTATGATGTTTAATAAAATCTACTTGTTTTAGAAACCCTTACAGGATTCTGACTAATATGCTCACATCTACTTCCTTTGCTACCAATGAAAGTAAGGATTTATTCTGCAAGAGAAGTTCTATGGAGCCAAGGTGGGCCTCAGCAGTGATGGTTATCACTTAAGAACACTAGTGAGGGAAGAGTTTGATTCAAATTTTTTTTAAAAATTCTGAATCCTAGACTGAATAGGAAGTTTGGGAAATTTGCTTTTTAATTATAGCAATCTTGCTTAAGATTTGAGCTACAGCATTTTTCATTTCTCACTTCAAAATGGGAAGAAACAATGTCACCAATTTTCAGCAATTGAAGGCTAGAGAAAAGAGTTTGAGAGGGCCATTACTGAGCTGAATAATTCAATCATCTTATTTGGAAGAATGCAAACTTCTGTGTCTACAAACAAGGAATGCATACAACTCAACAATACTTTATAATGTACTGTATCTTTACGATTTATATTCATATTGATTGTTTTCTGATTGCTTATTTGTACCCTATGACTATCATTAAGTGTTGTACCTTATGATTCTTGATGAATGTATTCTTTTATGTACACTGAGAGCACATGCACCAAAGACAAATTCCTTGTGTGTCCAATCACACTTGACCAATAAAGAATTCTATTCTATTCTATAAGGGGGGACTTTTATCAGCCACATATAAAAGAGTATTTCCTTCCAAAGAGATTCAACTCTGTATTGAATAAAAAAATCAGTATATAACAAGTAATGGTTTGACCCAAGTAACTTTAGGATAATCTTTAAACTATTCCCATTGCTTTGGAGCCAGTGCACACTTCTGAAATTATAATAGTATATGGGAATGACCCTGAGGAACGAGGATAAGACATCCTTCCAAGGAAACAATCAGACAAGAGGCGGGTGGAAGCCCCCAGTGGCTTCACGGTCAAGGAAGGAAACTTAGGCAGGTCCCGCCCTAATGGATCAGGAAGTGAAAAGAGTCGGTGAGAGATCTATACTTTCAAACTCTGTTTAGGTCGTTATACAATAAAGCAGAATTTCACCATCTGGTCACGTTTCCTGTCTGGTTTAATATAGCCTTACAATAAAGTAGAATTAGCTCATCTGGTCGTGTTTCCTGTCTGTTTTACCTGGGAGGATTGCAGGAATTTAGAGAGGATGTTATGGGTGCCCTCCCAAAATGGCTGTGAGGGCACAAAGCACCAAGAGGCAAAAAGCAAAATGCTCCTTACAAAGAAAGCATTCTTGAAAATGAAGATGGTGTCAAACTTCCCATCTATATTTTAAAAATTCAAAAGGGGCAGAGTGCCAAGTGAGTGCTAAACAATAAGATCATCTAATGGCTCAATTACAGTGGTGCCAGAACCTTTTTTTAAAAGCCACAAGCATACTAGTAGGAAACAAAATGTGTTCCGCAGGAATTTAGGAAAAGTAAACGTTCAATGAAACAGATCCTTTATAATTCTTGGTCCTCACACTGCTTCATAATATTCCATTCCATTCAATGTATTTGAAGTACTAGTCCTGGGAAAGAAAGTGGCCTTGAAAAGTGTTTCTGATAATTTGATGCCTGTCACTATTGACAAGAGCTGATTAGTTAAAAAACAGCTCTTATGCAAATCTATGACTCAATGAAAATGAGTATAATGTATGTCCATGACACAGCAAACCATGCAGTTACAAACTGTAGAAGCAGCAATGACAATGGACTTAAATAGCACAGGTTTTGTTAACGTAATTCTGCCTCAGTTGCCCTTCTATGCTATATTATGACAGAGAAAATGAATGAATGTTAGAATGCATTTGCATGAACTTGCAGGTGGCAAATCACTGTCTATGTTAGTAGTCACGTGTTTAATGCAAGGAGTCTCACCTTCACAAGCTTTTAAATGCTGCCCTTTTCTCAGGACTGCTGTCACCCCAGACAAGACACCATCATATTGGTGGAGCACTTCTAGGCAATGTTCGTGGAAAAATTTATCTTTCTGGGAGAGACCATGCAGAAGCAAAACAGCATCCCTCAAAAACTGTACAATTTGCTTTTCATGTCCATTGAACACGATTCCTTCCATTTTTCTGATCAAAAGCCATTGCCTATGTAACATTACTATCAGAGCTTTCACTGCCTGCAAGAAAACAGAATACAGTTCTCATAGAGACTGGCGTGTGTACTGTTACATTTATAATTGCTCTCTTTTTGGAATAGTACCATTGTAATACAGACATATGAGATTCTTATTATAAGAGGACCAAGGTTTGGAGATTACAAAGTATACTTAAGCAATATATCCTGACTGTAAGACTGAACGGGTAACACCGGAGTCATGTTGTTTTTTTCAGGTGAAAAAAAAAGCATATAACGTATTTTTCGGAGTATAAGACGTACCTTTTTCCTCAAAAAAGAGGCTGAAAATCTGGGTGCGTCTTATACATCGAATACAGCATTTTTTGCCTCCTGAAGGCCCGCCCCTTAACCAAAATGGCCATGCATAGCCTTATGGAGCCTTTCAGAGAGCTCCTGGGGGCTGGGAGGGCAGAAATAAGCAAAAAACAAGCTGCCCCCCCCCCAGTAGCACTCTATAAGGTTATGCATGCATTTTTGTTGACAAAAAACAGGCCGTTTTTGCTCATTTTTGGACCACCATCACCCCAGGAGCACTCTGCAAGCCCCCTCCCGAGGCTATTCATGCCTTTTATTTGGAAAAAAAACGGGCCTGTTTTTGTGAAAAATGGGGAGGTTTGCATAGTGCAAAAACCTTTTTTTTTTCTTTTGGAAAGCTCTTTAACTGATTGATGAGAATTACATTGATCAAGTGCTGTGCTAGCAGGAACAAAGTTAGGTGTTGCAGATTGTCAGTGATTTCCTCCTCCAGCACATGGATAAATACACCTGGAAATATCTACCTACCTACCTACTGTCTCTCTCTCTCCCTACCTACCTACTGTATTTTTCCCTCTCTCTCCCTCTATCTATCTACCTACCTACTCTCTTCTTACCTACCCACTGTATTTCTCCCTCTATCTAGCTACCTACCTACTCTCTTTCTCCCTACCTACTGTATTTCTACCTCTCTCTCTCCCTTTATTTACCTACCTACCTACTCTCCTTCCCTACTGTATTTATCTCTCTATTTCTCCTCTCTCTATCCCTCTCCCTCCCTCCCTATCTACCTACTCTCACTCTCTCTACCTACCTACTATATTTCTCTATCTCTATTTCTCTCTCTCTCTATCCTTTTATCTACCTACCCACCTACCTACCTACCTGCCTACCTACCTACCTATTCTCTCTCTCCCTACCGACCTACTGTATTTCTCTCTCTTTCTCTCCCTCTCTATCCCTCTATCTACGTACCTACTTTAAATTTGACTCTTCAAAACCTTTTGGATTATACTCCAGTGCGTCTTATACTCCGAAAAATACGGTAGTATTAAACTATGATCATAAATGGAATTTTCAGTGGCTTACCTCAGAAGTGCACTGGCAATCTATTCCCACAAGTAAAACAGAAGATCTACAACACTGCATACACTTGGTCAGAAAACAGACCGTCTAAGAAAAATTAACACAAAATACTTTTTAAAATGTTATTTTAAAAGATAAAACATGTAGTATCAAAATAAAGGAAAAGTCTGCATCTCTCTGGTCCCAAACCTACTAAACAAATGTGCTTGAAATAACAGGAGAAAAAGAGGGAGGGAAGACTTTCAAGTAACTGTCCTGAACATCAGGCTTTTAAGTTCAGTTTAACCTCTCATCCTAGCATAACTAATGTATTTTGATTACATTTCCCTATTACGTAAACTTGGTTCCAGTCATGCTCAGAAAAAAAGTTAATTCCATCCCACCCCCAAAAGCTGAACCATAGCTCAGATATCTTTGGAAGCTTAGAAACTGATACAAATGTATGGTTTTCAGTTGGAAGACAAGATAAAGATAAACTTGTATTTTTATAATATGATTATATCAAAAGCTCAAATCCTGCATTTAATCTCTCCTGTTCAAAGAACTGTCTTTTTATTAACCTTTAAACATGCAATATACTTTTACCTCTTGTTCCAACTGCAGCCAAAGCTCTTCAGATGCTAATTTATCAGGGCGTGATGTGATGTACATGTATAATGCCAAAAGTAGGCAAGTTTCTGTGAAAAGAATGAAGTATAACTTGTCAACATTATCATTTATGTGACTGCAATGTCTTAAAAACTATCATGCTCTTTTGAATATAGTGTGGTTCTCATTTTCTATATGACAAAAAATTAAACACTATGGTTTAAATTCATTTCAAAATGGACTCCAGGTGTTTCCCTCAGAAGAGGGAAACGTTATTACCTTCAAAGGGGTGCCCTACTGGTGTTGGAAACAAGTCCCTTAATCCTTACCACTGTTGAGGGTTAGGTTGCTTCTCCTAATATAGAGCACTTTTGAAATAAGCATTTCAGCCATAATTTCCCTAATTTCATCTATCTGACTGTATCTGTAACCTCTTCTTCCTCACTCCACTTGAATGTGTCAGTTGTTCAAAAATATTATGGGCAAAGGAGCTGGGTTGCACCAGTGGTCCTGTACCACAGTAAACCATTTGGGCAGAAATTATAACTCTCTTATCTTAGCTGTTCTGTCATAAGTACATGACTTCAGCACTTTTAGATTTTACACACAGTTTTTCTCCCAGATGGACTGAAAGCAAGATAATTTGCTTGGACGCCTAAATGTCCAAGAATATAGTAAAATATTTAAAACATAAATCCTGGCGACAAAGTATATATTCTCTTCTTGCAAACTGATTTTAGCCATTTACTTACATTTAACTTTATTTCACAGAATGATACATTCCACCAGTCACAGAGACCCAAAATTTTGATAAGTATCAAAAGATTTTAAAATAAACAGGGAAATAGACAAATCCTCAAGCAAACAACACCCAAACTTTGGGACCATATTTTAAAATGGTCATTTGCCTTATGAATTTAGTTGATGTCTATGAAGATTCTTAGTCATCCAGGTCATGGTTGTTCCGAAGATGTTTTATCAAGATGCAACTGGACTTTCAGTGTTTTATTAACGCAGTGGGATGGCTAAGATGTTCTCTTCCTTACCTGAACGTGAACAGAACCGAGCAGCCAGCTCCTGATGCTCAGCAAGCAAACTTAACATCCTAACAGTAAGAAGGACAGCAAACAAGGGAGTTTCTGAAGATATGCAGCGAAGCAGGATCTGTGACTGGCTATTGAACAAGCACTGAAAGCTTTATAGAAAAACAGAAGAAAATGCCATTCAGTGTCTGATTTTTCCAGCAGTTGATTCATATTGAGCAATCAAAATTAACCATGAAGAGAATAGAACAGACCTGAAGCATTTCAGATCCAAAGATGCTTCATAAGGACATGTAGGTCACACACCATACCTGTTGGCCCTGCTTTAAATCAGCTTCCCTCCCCTAGGCTCACACAAGGTGCTTCAGCTTGGGTATGCTGTCAGCATAACTTTGCTCCAAATATTTCGCAATAATGCTTAGAAGATACAGAACAGCCTGAGTGACCTCCAGACGTGATGGCTTTGATTCCCAAAGTTCTCAGCAATGGATAGCACTGGCTGCCAATTTGTAGAGCTGAAGCCACACATCTGGAGGATGCCCAGATTGGGAGAGGCTGTTTTAGAACCCAGAACAAAACAATCAACCTGCGTATTTTTAATCAAATGAGTTATGTCATGTGAGAATGCCATGAAACAAAATTATTTAAAAATAAAAGTGGGATTGAATTTAAGCTATGCTTTTACCTTATTAATAAGTCAACTGTTGACTTTTCAGCTAATTTCACCAAAACCTTTAGGCACTGATTTGCGATATGGCACCTCTGGCATCCTGCTGATGTTACACATAAGGTTAAGATTTGTAGTAGCTTTTTAAACAAAGGATGCTGAGATTTGTCCAAACTGGCAACCTCTAATTCTGGGAGGGTTTCCTGAAGATTATCTGTATCCTGTTTACTGCAAGCCACACTCTCATTCTTCTCAGAAATGTCTGTAGCTCCTGGATTACCATCTGCTTTTGTATCATGGGACAGAAGGGTATTAATAACTTCCCAGCTATAAAACACCAAATAGTAAAGAATGCCCAGTGACACGAGTGCATATTCTTCAAGAGTGGATAAAGCTTCCTCTGCGCTTGAAGCTGCACCTGAAGATGTCCTAGAGGAACAAGTAGACTGATTTCCAGAAGAAATGCTCCCAATCTTCGTCATTGACAAGAGGACTTGGATATAGGCACCAATGTGAAGTTCCAGGAGGGGGAGAAGATGAACTGCTCCAGGAATTTTAAAGCACTTAAGATGGGGCACGTCTCTTCTGTTTTGTTGTCCTTCCAGAGAGCTTCCAGCTGCAGCAATCAAATTCAATCCAGTTAAGGCAAGTTTTTGAGTAGTTCTCAATGAAATCTCACCTTCCTGAGGGCTTGAAGTCTTGTTACTGAATGTTGGTGTAGGTCCTCTAAGAAAACAAGAGGGAGAAAAGTAAGTACCATTTGTGATGTTCTGTGCATCTTCTGAAACTAAAACACATATCATGCCCCAGGCAAATGGGCTCAAGGACATTACTGCCACTTTTTGCAAAGGAAATTAAGAATATACTGTTAGGAGAGTTTGTCTTAATTTAATATTCTTTCTCATACAGAAAGTGCTGTAAATTAGTCTCCACATAAGCATTATGGTTGTCGCTGTTTGTGAAGAGGGAATCGCCAACATAATTGCCAATGTCCGGTGATGGATATGGCAAGAGGAGGAGGAGGTGGTAGAGAGAAAGAGAATGTGTGTCTTTAATTTGTAAGATACATTAAGGATACAAATTATATCTTCTATTAGAATTAACTAGGAAGGATTAGGATTTCTTACAATTCATCTGGACCAGCAGGTCTGGTAAATATGCTATGGTTAGCATCAATAGGGCAAAGATAGAAAATATATAAAACGTTATGCCACTAGAGGCACACTTTAATCAGCAGAGGACAAAAAATGAATGGATATTTGTCAAAAAAAACCAAATCCCAAACCCTTCAGATTTGAGTAATTAAATCCCTCAAGTTCTGTTCCTGACTACTATGCTGGAATAAAATTCCACCAAAGAGAAAAAAAAAAGTTTAACATTCTCAGTAGAGCAAGATCAGGCTTACATCCTAGATTCACCCAATCAAGTTATCTAAAAACAATGAGAAAAGGTAAAGCCGCTTCCATCTGATAAAATCCTGTCCCAAGATATCCACCCATCTGTTTCAGCAATCTGATTTCTTCCTGTTTCAGAAAAGATGAACATGGCAAACCTACACACTGAAAGAAGCAGACTGCATAGCAGATCCAGACCAAACTTCAGTGTTGCTGCTAAGAAGGTTGCAGATTCCTAACGATGATCCTGGAACAAGGGGCTGCTTCATTAGTGCATTTAGTAAAAGGGAACCTACAATAGATAAATCCAAGGCTGAAGACACACACTGAAGCAAGATACAGAGGGTATTTAACAATAATATACTTTGCTTAATTTTAGCTTGGTGCATTGTTACTTTGCATTATGTGAGAAACATTGCTGCTACGTCTTATGCAAGAATCCTGATTAAAATCCTGGCTTGGGGAAGTAAAAAACTTAATCATTATTATATTTAATCATTATATAAATTCTTATAGCAAATATTGTCTTCCTCCCCACCGTATGCCCAAGTTAATGTATTTTCTTCTTTTGCATTTACTTATTTGGTACATTTTATAGTGATGCTCACTATCCCCGAGTAAAGAAATTCCATATGATTTAAAGTTGTGGCATTTGGGTTGGTATGTGAGAATAAATACAATTAGCTTGCATTCAGAAGAGGGCGCAGTGCTTATGAAAAGAAGCAGGTTCAGACACCATCCACACTTCTTTTCTGGATGTTAGCTGAAACATTTACAAGGTGCCAAGTGAAAAATCCTGAGCTGGACTCAGTATTACCTCACATAATATAAGCAAGACTTGGAAAAATGCTAAAGTTAAAGCAGCAATACTACTCTAACTCATAAATGTAATTAGGGTTGTTTAGTTCTAACTGAAAATTCAAATTTATTAAAAAATACTTTTTTTCCAATTTCTGGTTTCATCCTTTAGAAAGCTGATTAGGGATTAGTCAAGCAGATATTTATTAACCAACACTAACAGATGATTATGCCAAAATCTCCTAAAACCTACATATATGGTAACTAGGAAAATCTTGAACAATTTAGTTCAAAATGTGTATCAATAGAAATATGTTAATATAGTCAGAACAGCTGATGCTAATATTAAGCTCAACATGTTTATACTTAAAGTTAAAGTAACTTGCTTTTCCTTATTTTTTATATACTTTAATTTATAACTCAAGGTGCTAAGCAGAAAACATTCTCGGAAAGAGTGTATTCAGAATCTAGAATATGAAAGTAAAGAATTTTTATAGTCTCCACTTCACTATTGACTTTGGAAAAAATTCATTTCCACTGCAGAACAAAAATACAATAGTACATTTATTAATAAATTAACATTTATTAATAAATTAAAGAGTGATTA